CCGAAGCCGTGCCCCGGGCGCGGGCTGTCCCGGGGCCTCTCACCGTCGAAGAGGGCGAAGAAGGCCTCTCTCTCGTCCCTCACGTCCAGACGGTAGGTCTCTGGGAAAAACTCTTCCATTTTCAGGACCCTGGGGAGCAGGGGGGGAGTAGGGAGGGCCGTCTCCCTCCCCCAGGCTTCGCAGTCATTCTAGGGCCCTACTTGGGGCAGGCTGGAGGGACCGTGGCCCTGGGAAGCTGGGTTGGGCTCCAGGCATCCCGGTGTCCCCTGCGCCCACCCCCACCCCGGGGTGTTTCCTCTCCAGCCCCAGCACCCTCTTCCCTCGCTGGAGCATCTCGCGGCTCCCCGCTCACCTGGCTCCTCTGCCGGCGCCTGCCGCAGGCCTGCCTCACCTCCCCGCCCTCTCCCGCTCCCCCTCCTCCTGGCTGCCCTGCCGCCTGCATGGCCCAGGCACTTGTGAGCCCTCTGTTTAGAGCTGTGTCCTCGGGCCAGGACAGTGCCCGCACTCGGGCCAGGACAGTGCCCACTCAGGCCAGGACAGTGCCCACACAGGCCAGGACAGTGCCCACACAGGCCAGGACAGTGCCCGCACTCGGGCCAGGACAGTGCCCGCACTCGGGCCAGGACAGTGCCCACTCAGGCCAGGACAGTGCCCACACAGGCCAGGACAGTGCCCACACTCAGGCCAGGACAGTGCCCGCACTCAGGCGTGCAGCCAGCAGGATCTGAGTGCTCTGGGCCATTCCAAGCTGCCTCCGCTGGCCTGGGATGCCCTTTCACTCTTTGCCATCTACCACCAGGCCATGCTTCAATTTAGGGCAGAATGGCTCCTCCCAGCTGGGCTGAGTACATCTACCTCTGTGGCCCAGGGCATCCTGGGCTGGTCGAGGTGAGCTCCTCCAGGGTGGGTGCTGGGTCCTTTCCAGATCTGTACCCCAGGGGGACACAGGGCCTGGCCTGAGTGTCCACTCGGCAGTGTGTGGAGGATGGATGGGTGGGGTCTGGGGAGGTGGGGAATGGGTAGGAGCTTTGAAGTAGGTAGTGGGTGTGTGGATGGGCGGTGGTTGGGTGAGTGGATTTGGGATGGAAGAAGGTGGATGGACGGGCAGGTGGCTCGGTGGGTAACAGATGCCCGGAGGGGAACGGGTGAGAGTTGCTGACCAACATGGGTGGAATGGAGGTGGACGGCTGGACGTGTAGAAGTAAAGATGGTGTCGTGGTGGCCCAGTGGGGTTGGAGGTGGACAGTAGTTGGGTGGGTGGGCATGTGTATAAGTGGGTGGGCAATGAGTAGAGTGAGTAGACAGGTGGACACCAGATAGGTGAAGACGCTGAGTGCCTCAGGCACGACTGTGCTGAGCGAAGGGAGCAGACAGTGAGTGTAGAGGGTCTGTGGGATTGGGAACTGGGATGGACGGCACGGGTGCAGTGGGTAATGAATGACTAAATGGGGGACACCAATGGGTGGCTCCGTGGTGGGTGTTGTGTAAGGACTCTAGAGGGGCTGAGGGGGACGTAATGGGTGGTGGGTGTTTGGGGTAGAGACAGATTGGTGAGTGAGTGGTGGGAAGATGGGTGGGTGGATGGGCAAAGGTGGGTGGACAGAGTGAAGGGTGGTTAGGACCAGCTATTGACCGACATTTCAGATGGGTGGGTGTGCAGCTGAGTGGAGAAGGGACAGGTGGGTTGGTAGGATGGATGGGTGCATGTGGGGTTGATGGTGGGGGGAGCTGATGGTGGGTGCCCAGCGGATGGTGGGTGGACCAGGGCGTGCGTACTTGGCCTGTGCACACTGTGATGTCTTGTTGATCTTGTTGGTGACCCTTGAGTACTCCCTGAGGGTGCTGAGAAGCCCGATCTTGGTGGTGAGCACTTTGTTGTTGGGAAGCTGGTACAGCAGCTGCTCACCTGGCATGACAAAGCCCTGGGCAGTATGTGGGTGACCACAGCAGGGTCTCAGCCACCCAGACCACCACCGGCTCCCAGTGGGGGGGGTGGAGCCACTCTCCATGCTCTGGCCCAGATGGTCCTTGAATGCTGTAGGCCCCCAAGCCCCTGCCCCTCCTGAATACCTTCCCGGAAGCTGAGGTAGCTGTCTCGACACTTGACCTCACACCACTTGAGCTTGTAGTCCTCCCTCTGGCTGTCCTGGATGCGCTGCCAGCCCTTCCTCTTGCAGTAGGAGCTGATTCTGTGGGGTGGAGGCCAGCATGACCCTGGGGGCCTTAGGACCTGGGGGAGGGATGGGCATGCCAGGGGAGGGGCCCCTTGGGGCCCTGGGGGTGGTGGGGCTAAGCCCGGCCTGAGGGCCCCACTCACATGGAGGCCCCATTGGCGCCCCCGATGTAGAAGAAGGGGCCACACCCCGTGCTGGATGGCTGCTTCTCCCCCCCCAGCAGATGCCTCTCCAGGAGGGTGGCCTGGGGCTTGGCGGCGACAGCATCTTCCAGAGGGTCTGCAGACAGGTGGGTGGTCAGAGGCCTGGTTGGCGGAGGCTTTCCTGTCCCCTCCCAGGCCCTGCCTGATCTCACCTGCATCCTGGTCCAGCTGGCTTAGCTGACTCAGGAGCCCGTCCAGGTCGCTGCTCCCCATTGGTCTCTCATGGGCCCAGCCTGTGAAAGGGATGGCACCCACTCAGAATCTGGCCCAAGTCCAGTATCAGTTGGGCTCCAGATCAACCGACCCTGTCCCACCCGTTTCTTGCAGCTCCCAGGCAGTCCCCCCAGCCCATCTGGGCACATCTCATCCCAGGCACGGGCCTGACCACTGGGCCTGGGCCTACCACGCCTCCTACGAGAGAGGGGATGGTCACCACCACTCAGGGTCAGCCTTAGAGTGGGCAGGGTCCCCCTTCACCAACAGGGCAAGTGCAGGTAAGGGGCGAGGGCGGAGGCTGGAGCTGGGGGCAGACGTGGCACAGGGGCATGCCCAGGAGGGTGGGGTCATAATGTCCATCATGATGTCATGGGTGACCCATGTCAGGCAGGGGTGATGGGGCTGGGGGCTGGGGCAGGCACAGTGCCTGGCAGACTGTAGAGAGATCTTTCCCCTCCCTGTGTCTGCTCAGATCCTCACTCTGCTGGCCCCTCTCCTGGGGCACAGTTGTGTGTGGTCCCCCGATTAGTACACTGTCCCTGGATTGGGGCTCCAGGCCCCAGGGAAGCCATCCCAGAGCTGCATTCACCTGGCACCAGGGGGCGGCTCCGCCAGACCCCTTTGATCCTCGATGGCTTGCCTCTCTTGGTGCCAACCCGGGTCCCAGGGGGCAGTCCCTGGTGGCAGTGGGTGAAGTGGGTGTGGCTATGGGCCCCGGGTTTGGGGACAGTGAGGCAGGGGCTCGGCTGAGAAGACGCTGTCCACACCGGTCTTTGGCACCTTCTCACAGCCCGTGGTCCTAGCCCCCGGATCTTGCAGGAGGTCAGGCCCACCCTGCAGGGAGAGCGGCGTTTCCTGGGGGTTTCGGCCTGTGGCTGGCTCTTGTCTCCATGGCGACTGTGGGGCCTGGTGTCCCTCAGGGGCAGGGTGGTCTCTGCATTCTGTCTGTCCCCCTTGAGGCCTCCCTTGTAGGGACTGTCTGCCTCGCCTCGTTGCCACCTGTAAGAAAGGTGTCCGTCAGGTCTTCAGGGGTCGAGAGGGGCACCCGGGCCCAGGAGTGGAGGTGCCCTGTGTCTGAGGGGGGCTCCAGCAGTGAGGTGCTGTCAGCCCCCATAAGGGGGCCTTGCTTTGAGCACCTTTTGCCCTGTAACCGCCTTGGGAACATCTCAGGGAAGTTTTAGCCATTCCTTAATGGGTCCCTCTCAATTTTGGGGCTGCTTGGGGGTCAAGGACTTTCTGAAGGATTGAAAACACAAGCAGTGGAAAGGCAAGCACACTGGGGAGGAAGCGGGACAGAGGGCCCTGCACCTGCGCCCAGGTGCCAGCAGAGACAGTCACTGTGAACACATCCAGCTGGTCACCCGAGAAATGCTGGCGAGGCCTCAGTCCCCACTTCGGACAGAAGCGTGCACAGTTCTGGGGGCCGAGTGCAGGCAGGATGGGGGGAGCCTTACACCTCTGCCCTGGCCCAGCCTTTCCCCCCCAGAATGGGAGGGCTTCTTGGAGGAGGCTGAGTGTCTGGGCTGGACACCGTGGGTGGGGAAGGGCCTCTGTGTGCACACGCAACTCTCCTCATCGCCGGGAGACCCCAGCCCCTTCGCACTTGGTTCCCAGCACCTGGCAGCAGGTCCAAGGGGTCCTGCTGAGGATGGAGCACCCCCCACACCATACCGACGTTCAGTACCTTCCCACAGCACTCCTAAGTGAGTGGCCACCGGGTCCGCAGGCATCTGAGGAAGGCCCCCAGGTGTGAGCGAGAGCTCGACGCAGACACACAGACACAGAGATGTGCACACAGACAGTGACACCCACCCACAGAGGAAGAGAGGGAGACGGTGGCACAGACGCTGGAGGAAACGTCCCCTGGAACACCCTAGGGTGGGAAGGGGAGGAGCCCCTAGGAGGGCTGGGTGCTGTCCCGGAGTGCGTGGGAATTAGAAATAGGACACAGAGGCCAGGACATTGCCCAGAAAGGAGAACACGAGGATGGAAGCAGGGAGCAGGTGGAGCTGAAGTCACGTCCAGAGAGATGGAGGAGGGGACGGCGAGGCCAGCGAGCAGAGGCTGGGCTCTGGCGGCCCCTCAAGGAGGTTCCTGAGAAAGGCGGGACAGTGGGCCGGGGCAGTGCAGTTTATGCACACGGCGGGCTGGCGGGACCATGGGGGGTGCAGTGTAGAACCAGGCGCGGGGCCCTGAGCCAGCTGGCAGGGGACCCCGAGGTTAGGACGTGCGCACACGGTGGCGAGGGGCAGCCGTCCCCCATCCCAGCTGTTGGGCATCCTCTGCAGTGCAGCCGTGGGAGCGGAGCATCCGAAGGCAAGTGGCCAGGCAGCCCGGACGCTGGCCGGTGGCCGTGGGCAGGCAGGGGGTGGCGTGGCCAGGACACTGCCTCCTGCCTCTGTTTGGCTTTTGTAACTGTGCTGATTATTTTCACAATGAATAAAGCCCGGAGTTACCAGTCCTTGCCATTAAAATTAACAAAGATGAATAAAAGCCCCGGGCAAGCCCGCGTGTGGTGCGGCCTCGGCGTGGCTGACCGGAGCTTGGGGTGGGGTGTGGCTGGGGGGTGTCAACTCTGCTCCAGAGCCCTGCGCTCTGGCTGGTCAGTCTCTGAAGGACAGAATCTAAACGAGAGGAAGGCTGGACCACACAGTGTCGCAGGGGAAGATGGCCACCGACATTGCATCAGGACGATGCTGGGAGGGGTTAAGTGAAAACTCAACTTTTATAATAAACTTTGAAATAAATGTTTTACCTGGTCTGGTGCAAAGACTGGCAGGAAGGAGCACCCTGGCGTGGTGAACGTAAGGCCCTCGTGAACCTGAAGAAAACGTCCGAGGAAATGAGACGTCAGTGTCCTGTGGGGTGCTAGGCGGGCGCTCACATTGTCTGCTGGGCTGGCGCCTCCCGGGCAGGGCCAGGCTGTCCACGGGGACAGGGGTCCCCACAGATGTCAGGACGCGGCCCTTTTGAGCATAGGTTCTGGGAGACACACCTAGTCTTGGGCGAGGTAGCTCGTCCTGAGGAGCCGACACTCCCGGGACGCACACCCTTCTTGGCCTGGCACTGGGGTTCGTGCCCCTCACGCCGTGGCCCTGGGGGCATGGGCTCTCCACAGAGTGGGGGCACCCTTCCCCTGCCCTCCCCTCCCTCGTCTCTTTCTGCTCCTGGACAGAATCCCCAGAGGACCAACAGGGTCCTTGGTGGCCAGGTGGGGACACAGGATGGCAGGCCCCAGCCCTCATGCCCGGCCAGGACCCTTGCTGCTGACCTGCCCGTGCCTCTTACCTGCCCTGCAGGCTGGTGTGAGCCCTCTGCCTGGGAAACAGTGGTGACCTGGCAACCATCACCCGGCAACTGCCTCCCAGCAACCTCGACCCAGGGCCCAGAGGAGAGCAGGTGGATAGGGAGGGGCAGGGGCCAGATGCCCCGGGGGAGCTGGGCCCCCCATTCTCTCCAGGATCATCCCTGAGCCGTTGAAGACCCTCAAATCCACGCCCAGGCCCCAGACCTGACCCCAGAATTTTTGCGTGTTCACTAGGCTTTATTGCTGTATGACACCTTCCTCACTGCAGCCCCAGCACATGGGGTCCCCACTTTACAGAACAGTGCGTGGGGGCTCAGCAAGCCAGTGCCACTCCCAAGCGTGGGGGTGCTCACACCTGGGGCTGGGCTCCCGTCTGCCACAGCCTTGCATGGGTCATGGGGGTGTCTGTACTTTGAGGGCCTTCGCTTCTTGTAGGGCTGTAGGTAGCCCCCAAATGCGTCTCCATTCTGAGCCCCACACCAGCTGATGTGATCGATCTTGGGAAAAGGGTCTTTGCAGATGTGATTAAGTTAAGGATCATGGGGTGAGGTCCTCCTGGGGACCCTAAACTCAGTGACCAGTGTCCTCCTAAGAAGGAGGCAGACAGATGAGGAGACACAGGGAGAGGGGAGAAGCCACGTGCAGATGGGACAGAGGCTGGAGGGATGCGGCCACAAGCCCAGGGACACCCGGAGCCACCGAGGCGGGAGAGGCAGGAAGGACCCTCCCCTAGAGCCTCCGAGAGGGCGCCCACACCCTCCACTTCTGACCCTGGCCCCCGACCCGGGGGGGTGCATTCTGTAGCTTCCACCCGCCGTGTGGCCATTTGCTATGGCCGCACCCCTTAAACCCCTCACTTTCAAGGCTCCTAGCTTCACCTCCACTACAGGGAGGCCTCTGTGACCCTACACGCCTGCCTTGGGCAGATGAGGGGCCTTCAGGGTCGGTCCTGCTGGACTGTGGTCTGAGACCTCTCTGCCCTGCAGGAGGGCCTGGGGCCCTGGCTAAGCCCTTCCCGAGCAGCTGGGCATGGACTCTAGCGTGGGACTCGCAGTGGGGGGCATTTTGGCCCCTGGTCACCTTTAGGCCCCTCCTCTTCCCTGGCCCTGAGCACGGAGCCCTGGGGAGTCATAGCTGCCCTCCCTCTGGAGCCCGAGCCCCTTCCCCACGCTGGAGGCTGGGCCCCTTGGGGGCTCCCAGGCTCCTGCCCACCACCTCGGTCCCCTGGTTCCTCACGGGTTCTGGGGAGGTGGCCCCTGCTCACTGTCAGCAAGAGCTCGGGCTCGAGAAGCTGGCCTCATAACCAGAAGCACCAGATGGCATGGTGCCTTCCACTGCTGTGCAGCTGGGGGCCTCCTGGCCACGGGGGCGCTTGGCCTGGGTGTGCTGGCAGCAGGAGGGGCGGTTGGCCCCTCTGCGGGGCCACGGGAGCCAGGTAAAGGCCCAGCACCCCTCCTGCAGCCTTGGGGAGTTGGCACCTTTGCTGGGGCCGGGCCAGGGCTCCTGGAAGCCCCCCCCGCTGGAGCCAGGCAGCCTCCGGCCTCCGGGTCTCCCCTTGGCTCCTGCTGCTGTCCGCAAGTCCTGCACTCGGGCACTTGCTCAGAGAGGCCTTCTGGGGCCACCCTCGACCCCCTTCTTGCTCTAGAACTTGCTATGCAGACTGTGTTCAAGGAAGACTCAGGGAAAAGGGGTACAAGGGGAGGGGCAGAGACCTCCCCCAGGAGCCCTGGGGGCCCCTCCACTCGAGCGGCAGAGCCCTTGGGCTGTTGCAGGGTCTGGGGCTGTGACCTCAGCGGGTCCTTTGCAAAGCTGTGGGTCAGGCCCCTGGGACCTGCTGAGAGTTCTCAGGGGAAGGAAGGGGCTTTGGGGAGACAGCCATGATGCTGGGGGTGGGGTCAGCATCAGGGTTTGCTTTTGGGGACTTGAGACAGGACATCTTGATGAACTGCAGTGAGGGGAGCAGGGTGGGGCCAGCCGAAGTCTGGGGTGGGGTGGAGGTGAGGGGGGATGCATGGCACTAGCAAAGCGTGCCCCCCAACTGCCCAGGCCCCAGAGACAGGTTGTGGGAACCTGGTGGGTGCCCTGAACTGAGGCCTGAGGAAGGAAGGGGGTGGCTGCCCCCTGCCCATCCCACTCCTCCCTCCCCCAGCTTCTTGCTCTAAGTTGAGAGTAGGGGCTCCCCTCCAGCACCCTCCAGCCACCTGACACTGCTTGGGGTGGGGAGGGGCGGCCCAGGTTTCTGGGAGCACTGCCTGCCATGGGCGCTCCTCCTCACAGTGGGTTGGAGGTCTGGGGGCTGGGGCTCCCCTGCCTGGTGCAGATTGGGGCTGGGTGAAGGCTGTGCCCTCCCTGGAGAGGGTTCCAGGCTGGGCCGCGGGTGGGGCTGACTGCGCTCCTCTCTCTTCTGGCCTGGTGGCTGCACGAAGGCCTTAGTGGGCCCGAGATGGACGGAAGCCAGCCAGCCTCACGCCCTTTATTACCCCAACAATTTATTATGGCTGTGACAGAAAGCCTCCCTGGGGTCAGAGGGCACCCCAGGCAGGGCCTTGGGGGCTGAGGATGTCCCAGTTTGGCCTATGCCCTGGGGAAGACACGAGGGCCCCAGGCTTGGGCAGGTGTGCACCACCTGCCTGGTCAGGGCCACCACTGCTGGACCTCATGGACAGCGGACCCCAACTTCCACCCGGCATCTGGCGAGGGGCCCTCCTCCGGTGACCAGGCCGTGGATGGACGGCATTACCAGACAGTATTAGACAGAAGGACCCAGGTCTAACCGTGTCTGGTAAGACACCCATCACAGGCTACCTGTCCTGCGGCGTTCAGCTGGGTGGCAAGACCCCTGGGCCCTCCCGAGTCTGCAGAGTGGCCCCCCCAACCCCCAGTGCCCCGTGGCTTGGTGTCTGGCTGGAGCCTTGCCCCTGGGCTGCTCTGAGGAGGGCCTTCCACAGACTCCATCCCAGCATACAGTCCCCCAGAACATGTGTGTGCGTGTGCGTGTGCGTGTGCGTGTGCGTGTGTGAGTGTAAGTATGTGCGTGCGTGAGTGTATGTGAGTGTATGTGAGTGTGCGTGAGTGTATGTGAGTGTATGTGAGTGTGAGAGTGTGCGTGTGCATGTGCGTGTGCGAGTGTGTGTGAGTGTGCGTGAGTGTGTGTGTGTGTGCGTGCAGCTGGGGCATCTGTACCCTGCCCTTGACCCTGAATCGGCCCTCAGTTAATGAGTAACAGGAGGCCAGAGGCAGACCCTCCTCCCTAGAGACCAGCTGGGGCCCAGGGCAGGGTGGGGTTCCCAGGCCAGAAGGGCCGCCCAGTGCATGTCAGCCAAGCAGGTCTGGGGGCCCCAGTCCTGGCTTCCGATCAAACAGATAAAACCAAGGGCCTCTGGCCTTTGATTCCAGGCGAGGTTCCCATTCTCACCTGTGACACTGTGGGGGCTGCTGGGGTGGCAGGGAGACTGCCCTCTTTGGGGAATGGCACAGAGGGTCCACCACCCGCATGCGGGTCGGGGCAGGGCACCTGGACACACCCTGTCCTTCCTGCATCCCAGGTGGCCCGAGGAGCACATTCCCCTGACAAAGCAAGAATGCTGTGAGAGAGGCCAGCTCCCAACAACGAGTGTGGCTGGGGTGCCCTGGGATGGCCACAGTGGACACGGGACTCTGCATGGTAGATGGACGGGAGGGGCTGCCTGCTGCCAGCTCTGGACCAGCCACAAAAACCATCTCCCCGTGTGGCTGCTGACTGGCTGGGCGGCCAATTCTGTGCAAGTCCTGAGGCCGGCAGTGGCAGCTATGGCACCGGGGGTGCAGGCCAGGTCCCCAGACGAGGTCGACGTGCAGGACGAGGCTGGTGCCCTTCTCCTATCCCAGTGTCCTGGCCTTAATGGTCTCTCCTGGAGGTCAGGTCACGGTGGGCCTGGGCTGAGACAGGCTGTCCCCCTGTGCCCCAGCCGGCCCTGAGCCTCAGCACAGCCCTAGAGTCCAGGGACTCAGGACAGTGCGTCCTCGGGCCGTTTCCTGGCAGCGAGCGGCGGGTCACCCATGAACATCGTTACCAGACAGTGTTAGAGTCAAGCCGAGAAGTCCAGCACTGTCCGGTAAGATGCCCACAGAGGCCCAGGTGTGCCTCGGCCCGAGGACTTGGGATGGACACACGGTGCCCGCCCCGGGCAGGAGGACCAGGGTGGGAGGTCTTCCTGCTCCCGCTTTCTCCAGAGTGAGGACTTGGCGCTTGGGACCAAGGCTGGAGGTGCGGCTGCTCTGCCAGGGGGCCCCCCTTCCCTGGGCCCTGGCCGGCTGACCACCCCTGCTGCACCTGCTCGGGCCGGGTGGGCAGGGCCCGGACACCTGAACATCCTAATCCCCCAGATTGCTGTCTTAGGAGGGGGGGGTCAGTGCAGCTGCAGGAAACCTTTTATTCTATGGGGCTGGGAAGAGGCTCAGACCCACAGGGCCTGCGGGAGGGGCCTGCCCGAGGTCACCTTTCTGCCCCATTGCCCCACCCAGAAGCCACCAAGCAGGACAGGGTGGGGGGACCTGTGTGGGGAGAGACAGGGCTCCTGGGGGCTCGGGCCGGGGGCGGCCCCGTTGCTGCGTGCAGGGCCCCGCCGTCATCATTACCAGGCAGTATTAGAGACCTGACACCATCCAATGCTGCCCAGTAAGATGGCGGTGGCCACCCCGAGTTGGGTCTGGGGGCCGCCCGGGCTGGGGTCAAGAGGGGCTCGATGTGGGGGGCACTCAGCAGCCTGAGGACACTGAGGTGAGGAGGGGTCTGGAGGGATGGGGCTCATGAGGGCCCCATGTAAGGCCCCGCTTGCGGGGGCTCGGCCGGGGGAAGGCTGGGCTGCTGCAGCTGGAAGTCCCCGGGGGCCAGGACCACAGGGTGACCTCCCTGCTGGGCCAGCCCCTCCCACCCAGCAGGGCCACCAGCTCTGGGCTTGGGGTGGGCACCTGAGGAGGGGCCAGGGTGTCCCGTCGGCCGGAGGCTGGCAGCCCCAGGACTCGGGAGAGTGGTGCCCTCCTGCTGGGTGGTCCCAGGGAAAGGCATGGACAGCAGACTCAGCCCTCCGGGTCCCGGGTGCGTGTGAGTGTCTGAGGCTGACCCGACCGCTGTGGCTGGACAAAGGGCCTCTGCCCCCGACACCACCCCAGCCGCTGCCTGCAGCCCAGCCCCCTCTTGTCCTTGGCAAGGGTGAGGAAGGGCATCAGGAAGGGTGCAGAGGGGGCTGTGGCTCTGGAGCCAGGACAGCCCCTGGGGGCCTCCTCCCCCCACCCACCAAGCAAGGCAGGCGCCCCCTGACCGGGGTCCCCCACTTTGCGCAGTGCTGTCTCTCACCAGCGAGGTCACGGATGGGACTATCTGCCTGCCCCACTGCTCCGGGGCCCCGGGATTCTGGCCACTGCTGGCCGTGGAGTCCAAGGGTGAGATGGCGCTGGCCCTGCAGGAGGGGTGAGAGGGGCAGCCCTGCTCAGCCTGTGCCTGGCGGTCACTCTGACTTGTGTGCCCACAGTCTGGGGTCAAACCCCAGAGCAGATGGGACAGCAGCCCCCAAACATGGAACGCAGGACAGTGACCCCCAGGTGCCTGCCAGGAACAAGTCAGTCTTTAGTAGCAACCCCCTAGGACCGGGGTGTTCAGAGTGGGGGGTCAAGCAAGTGGGCATATCTGCAGTCTGTGCCTGCTCAGGTCCCACTCAGGCCCCTGCATGGGGTGAGAGACCCTGGCACCCAGGCCCTGGGAGGACTGAGGGGCCCGTCCTCCCTCTTGTCCCTTCTCTGTCCCCTGCACAGGTGGAACCTGGGCCTGGAGAGCCGGCCAGGGCAGCCTCTCAAGTTTTCCAGCACCTTCCACCCACAGAGTCTGCAGGGAGGAGGTGAGGGCCCTGTACTGACTCCCCCTGGGCTGCTGGGCTGACCACAACAAAGCCTGCGTCCACCCCACCCCCAGCCTCAGCCAGGTCCACCTGGTTCTCCAGCTCCGTCCTCGGGAACGGCTGATATTTCTCAGAGGACTGACCCTAACAAAGGCCCAGCGTTGAGGGACAGGTGGGATGCCCAGGCTCCCGCCCTGTGCCCCTACCCCCAACGCTGGGCCCTCCTGGCTGGACACCTGGCTGGTCAACGTCTGTCCCACAGACCCTGTAAAATCAGTGTGCTCCAGAAATGCAGCGCCTCTGTTTTCTGAGCTAAGTGAAACCAATTAGGCTTCACTTGCAGAGCTGAGTTAAATTTCAGCTTCCCTCCCGGCTGCCAGGCCCCAGGGGGAGGTCAGTGGGGGCTAAGTGAGGGGATGCGGGCAGGTGCCCAGTGTCCCTCCCTTGTAGCCAGCCCTCCGAGCTCAGGCCGGCCTCCTACCTTGTGGCTTCCAGAGGGGGAGACTGGCATCCCCAGAGCCCCTGGCTACTCAGGGCCAGCCTTCCTCGGGGAGCACCAAGGGCCAGAGAGAACCCACAGGCCCACAGCCAGCCCTGCCACAGGCTCGGTGGGCAGGCAACTGCACTGTTACCAACCACCTCCTCAGCCATTACACCCTTGCTTAGGGGCAGAGAGGACCACAACAGACAGACACAGGGACGGCCTGGGTGGTGGGCCTTGGAGAGCTGTCTGCTCACTTCCAGGACAAGCCCCATTCTCGTCCTGAACTCAGAACCCATAAATGCAGAGCAAAGACCAGTGCCCAGCCCGGGCCTCAGCCCAGCTCCGAGTGCGGTCAAGGGCTTGGACGCCTGGCACCAGGGCGACGCGGGAGTCTGACAGGCTGAAATGGAAAGTGAAAACGAAGGTCCCCTGTGTCCGAGTGCCCTAGACAGCGCCGTGCGGCCTGCTGCTGGCAGGGAGGGAAGCCCGCCAGCGTCCCGGTGCTGGATCGGGTCTGGTTAATCATCACCATGACGACTAGGCTTGGCGTGGGAGACCGGAGGAAGGAGTCCTTGCAGAGCAAACACCCCACCTGAGGGCACCGGCCTGCAGCCTCGGGGCCCTGGGCAGGCGGGAACCCGATCCCGGCGTGAAAAACTCACTCTCTGCTGGTTAACTTGCCCGACGGGCCTTAGTCAATGGTGAGGGCCCACAGAGAACAAAGCCCTGAAACCCAACGCCGCTCGCTCCGGAGAGGCGGGGGCGTCCTCACGAGGGCCTGCATCCAGCCAGCCCGCCCGCCGAGCGGTGCGTCCACAAGGACGCCGCCATTTCCCCTCCCGGCCCTGTTCCTCGGCCCTCTGGGGGTGCCCCGCGCTCCCCACACCAGCCAGCAGACAGGCTCCTCAGGGTGGGTGGCTTCCATGGACCTTTTACTTTCTCTTAAATTCACCCAAAACAACATTCCTACCAACTGACTTTGCAAATGAGGAATTTGGAAGTTACCAAAATGTCAGAAACGGACAGAGGACTGCGTCCATTTCTCCTGTTTGCTTTGCGTTTTCACAAATGCAAAACTTATTTAGCTCGTTCAAGGTCCTGCCAACCACTTTCACTTGTAAGCATTTCATCTGGTTACTAGAGAAAAACAACCGAAACAAAACCGACCTATTTTTCCAGATGCTCGCCTAACAAGGGCTAAAACGCTCTCAGCAGATTAAAACATACACGTATCCCTGAAAGTTTTTCAACAACAATGAAGCCCGTATTATTCCTCAAAGAACGCTAGCCTGTGTCCCACCCGTGGGACCCCCTCCTACACGGCCCACCCGCCCACGGGAGGCAGGCTTGACCACAGCACGGTGCTCCTGGGGCCGCAGGGCCATTCCGCATTTCGGTTAAGAATCCGCAGAACAGACTTTGGCCCTGACCCTGAGTAACCATGTCAGCCCAGGGCCAGCCCACTCCTCCAAGTGGGTTCCGGTTTTGTGGGTGCCTCACGCCCGGGCGGGTGAGAAAGAGCCACAGTCCGGGCCAGACTGGCTCTGCCCCGAGCTCCAACCGTCCCAGTGTGGCCACTGGCAAAGCCAAGCCCGTCTCGGGAGCCAACTCCAAGCCCAGCACCAGAGCGGGGCGCTTGCGTCCCCCCAGCCCCGCTCTCAGGGAGCCAGGTGCCCCTGCAGCCAGCACAGCAGCGGCTTGTTTGGGTCAGAGCTTTCCAGAAGGAGCCGTGTCCGGGCGGAAGGTGGGAACCCTCTCGGTCGCCGACCCCAGCTGCCCACTGGATGGGAAAGACGCCCACCACCTGGTGCCCGCCTGGCCCTGAAGACGTGGCCTGTGGGCCCCAAGTGGCTGGGCCCAAGATGGCTCCACACCCAACACCCAGTGTGCCCGGCCGAGGGGCTCACCTTCTCGGAGAGCAGGGACCACCCTTCCCTCAGTGCTGACCGAGAGCTGAGCGGCTGCCCCTCCTGCCTAGGTCAGCCGAGCAGGGGACCGCGCGTCCACCGGGAGGCTCTCCCCGCAGCGCAGCCTCCTGCTTACCTGCCCCGACAGGTTCTGCACCTGGAGGAGGAGGGTGGGAGGCCACTCCCTGCCCCCAGCCTGGCGGCCGGGCTGGCGTGTCCAGCACCGTCCTC